GGCTAGGCACAAACATGGTGAGTGACAAAACAACTAAATTAAGAGACTCTAAGTCTGAACTAACTAACTATTAATAATCAATAAAACTATGCTACTCACAATCTTACTAACCTTTCACTATTTTGTGTAAATAATAACTGCATGTACAGGTACTATATGCATGGTACCCGTACTATAACGTTATATTTACATAAAATAGTAAAAGGTTAGTAAGATTGTGCAAAACAAACATTACGATTATAAAAAACCTATTTTATGAAAGGGTTCAAAAGTATATATATTGTTGGTAGAATCCGGAGTAAATAAAATCTATCCCATGATCAATGCCAAAGTTAAACTGTGTAACTGATACTATATAAACTTAGTTGTGATCTGTTTCTAGGGATGAGAAAATAGTTGCAGAAGACCAATTACAAACTCCTTGTAAATCAAATTGTTGTTTCAACACATTCAATAACATAACAGGATGTAGGCCTTGCATTAGAGTAGCCGAACCACTTATAAGGTGTCTTTGTTTTTTTTGTTATGTGTTAATCCTTGCCTATCATCATCATATCATTCACTGGGGTCACGTACCCACCCTACGTGGTTCTGATGCTATCAATCATGTACCCATGGTTGTGCAAATTTAGAATCGATTGCACCCATTTTCAATGTCGCACCATCGTGGTTTTCCTTGTCGTTGCCAATGCACCATCAGCCGCACTGGCCTTCCTCTAAGGTCTCAAATCGATCATGACTGATTTTTGTCTTGATTATTGAGGTTGCTTGTTGTTGTGTTAGAGTTGACCGGTTGATTTGTTTGGTTGCCCCCCCACCTCTTTTTTATTTTTATTTTTTTGCAATTTTATGGTTGAGAGTCAATTCTTAAGTCTGTTCAAACCGAGTATCCAATTCTCGGTTCTAGTTTCGATTTGTTGGTTACTGTTCGAAAGGTGGAATGGAATGACAACAGTGTTGGTCAAATTTGGGAACTCGACATACCAACACAGTGTCAGTTCCGAGGACGAACCGAAACACAATGCCGAGTATTGCAGTTCCGGGTCTACCTATATTTTGCTGAACCCTATATGTAGAAGAGGATACAAAATCTTTTTAGGCAAAATCAATGGGTTGTTGAAACTTTAACATAAAACTTTCTAACTTTAGATCATTTATTTTATGAATCACTCTATATATCCTATCCATTGCATTTTACGTCCAAAAGGGAAAACACCTTTTTTCCTATTTAAATAGACATTATTTGTGAAAAGGGTGACAATTAAGTGATAAAAACATCCTATTAGGGTGGAGTGGTTCCGGGTACCTTGTATTTTTCAGGGGAATCGGAACCGCACAGTTAAGGTTCCCAAAAAAGGAACCGGAACCGGAACCAGAATACACAGTGCAGGTTTTTAAATTCAAGGAATCAGAACCTGAAATGGAGGTTCCAGTTCCTTTCCCGGTGTTATAAAAAATCAATTACCCCCTATTGTTTAAAAAATGAAAAAATACCTTAAAAGTTTACAAATACACCCCTAATAAATTTTGATTACTCATTCATTTGTGTCCAATGTGACTCATAAATCCTTAATCTCTAGGCACTATTTGAATTCAATCAATCATCACAATTCACATAAAATTCCTCAATCACAAACCAAAACACAAACATAATTAATAATTAAACAATCATACTATAATCTATAATTAATATTATAATTAATAAATTTCTATCATTTAATTAATGTTGTACTAAGTTTATAATGGAATATTATAATTAATTAAGTAATCATATTATAAATCTATAATGTAATGTTATAATTAATTAAAATTTAATCATTTAATTAAGTAATGTATATGTAGTAAATTACTAAGGTTTATAATGTATGTTATAAATTTAATAATTAAAGTAATCATCTATAAATTTATAATGTAATGCTATAATTAATTAAATTTCTAATCATTAATTAGGTATTGTGCTAATGTAGTAAATTGCTAGTTTATAATATAATGTCATAATTAATTAAGTAATCATTTTATATATAATGTTATAATTAATTATGTGATCATGTTAATGTAATATTTAATGAATTAAGTAATTATACTATAAATCTTTAATATATATATTAATTAAATTTTAATCATTTAATTAAGTATTGTACTAATGTTTAAATGGAATGTTATAATTAAAAGTAATCATTGTTTATAACGTAATGTTAATTAATTAAATAATCAACTATAAATTTATTAATATTAAATTAATTAAATTTCTAATCATTTAATTAAGTATGGCTAATGTGGTAAATTACTAATGTTTATAATATAATGTCATAATAATTAAGTAATCATTTAATTATGTAGTATATAATCAATTATGTGATCATATATATATATAGTTACAATAAATTAAGTAATTGTACTATAAATCTTAATGTAATATTATAATTAATTAAAACTTTAATTTATAATGGAATATTATAATAATTAAGTAATATTTAACTATATAATGTTATATTGATTAAATAATCATTTAACTAGTAATGTATAATGCTTATCAATTTATTTTATATAATTAATAATTACTAATTTACTACAGATATACTTAGAACTTGATAATTGAAGTAAATAACTAAATATTATATTATTATTCAATAAAAATTACTATTTATTAAAAAATAATTCTTTAATAACATTAAAATACTTTAATTGGTCATAATTCCAATTAACATTAATTAATCAAAACTTTAATATTAACGTATTAAAGTTTTTTATATGGTATAATTTATATGAATAAGTATAATTATATTTTATTTAATTAGGTTATTGTAAAAATTTAACTTTTTTCATTTTAATTTTTTATATGTAAAATTACGCAGACCCCCAATTCTTCACAGATATTCATTTCAGCCCAGGTTCTAAAAGACGGGTACCTGCTGCAGGTTTTTTACAGATTCCGATTGGTTTCGACCTCCACATGTAGGAATCGAAACACACAGTGTTGATTCCAAAAAAAAAAGGAACCAAACTACCCACCCAGTATTGATTCGGGTAGGTTCTGGTTCTAACTACAGGTTCGGTTTACCTACTGCCCGTGCTCACCCCTACATCCTATACTTGCTATATTTGAAAGGGAAGATGGATGATCAATAAAAAATTCTATACTTTTAGAATTCTAATTTAGAAAGAATTTTTGAAGCGGGGTACAATTACACAATAGCTAAAGCCAATTTACTTTACAGGAAGCCGTCACTCAATTTTCTTTGAATTTTAATATAACTATATATGTCTATGATTTTGGTGGTCAAAGATTCCGCGTGCCTCTCCATCTTAGTTTAAATAGCTACAGCTAATTCACTTTACAAGAACCCGTCACTCAATTTCCTTTTAATTATCCATTTCAGTTTCAGAAATATCATTTAAACCTCCCTGTATTTAGCCAAGTAGGAAAAATCTTGTGTGAAATTTCATTAATGCCCTTTAAAGGTAAAACTCATTTTATGTTTGTAATTATTTAGATATTAAATAGCTCAAGACAGAGGAGGTCGGATTTTATGATATTTTTGAAACCTTAGAATGCATTTATTTTCCTCAAACCTCACGGGATGGGATGAAAGTGTATTTTTACCTGTTTTTAGATGTACAAATTTTTTCATACAGAATAGAGCAAACATAATCAGAAACCAAATAGAAAAAATTACAAAAGAGAAAAAAAAAAAGGATTGCTAACTCAAGAACAAATATTATCTCTAACAAAATAAGTTATCATGCTAAAATATTAGAATCATTAAAAAGGATTTGGCAGATATTAAAAAGAAGAAATACTCAATTAATCTGTAAATCATATTTTTTTAATAAAATTTTTGATTGAAAGGGTATGCATAAACCTTTTTTAATCTATACTTAATATTCCAAGAATCAATGCGAAAAAAAAAAAAAAAATTGAATCAACAAAAAAAACATTCAAATCATTCATAACATGAATGAATGAACACATGTAAAAAGTCAATTTAGTAAATACTCAATAACAATAGATAAATAATATACTATCAATAAAATAATGTTGCAATAACGGTTTGTAGATGTAGGATCACTCAAATAGTTAGGAAATGATTATAAAAAATGCTCACAAACTTTTTAAGTTGTAATAAAATTTCATGATTTCTCTCAGTTTCATATTTTATAGAGTATAATATAATGCATTAAAACCTTTAATTATTTATCTAATTTGTTTGAAAGTTGAAACATCATGAGCCTACAAAGCCATAGTTTTCACATCAAGTAGGAAATAAATTATATTTGTGGGAAACAAGCTTTCAAATTCTTGGAAATTATGATTTTCAACAACCTTGCCAAGTCAGAATCAAACGCCTCAGAAGTCTACAATTGACACTGTAAGTTAACTTCTTGTGCAATTTTCAACAAGTCCATGGCCCCATGACAGCTAATCTCTATGTTGAATTTTCAAGATAGTGAAATCAGCGTGTTAGTTGTATGATTTTGTCAAGCATAGCTCGGATGTAAGAAATTTAAGCCACAGCTTCTTTCTCCAGACAATATATACAGTTTGTAGATGTAGGATATCACTCAAATAGTTATGAAATGATTATTACAAAATGCTCAGAAACTTTTTAATTTGTAATAAAATTTCATGATTTTGCTCAGTTTCATATTTTATAGAGTATAATATAATTCATTAAAACCTTTAATTATTTATTTAATTTGTTTGAAAGTTGAAACATCATCATAAGCCTACAAAGTCATAGTTTTCACATCAAGTTGGAAATAAATTACATTTGTCGGAAACAAGCTTTCAAATTCTTGGAAATTTATGATTTTCAACAACCTTGCCAAGTCAGAATCAAACGCCTCAGAAGTCTACAACTGAAACTGTAAGTTAACTTCTTGTTCACTTCAACAAGTCCATGGCTCCATGACATTGACAGCTAATCTCTATGTTGAATTTTCAAGATAGTGAAATCAGTGTGTTAGTTGTATGATTTTGTCAAGCATAGCTGGGATACTGGAAATTTAAGCCACAGCTTCTTTCTCCTACATATATGCAGGCAGTACATACCCTAACCAAGGTATTGTTGATAAACTAGAGAAGAACAATTATGGCAAGCAATATCGGTACCACTCGTTATCTTATTTGTAGCTTCCTCTTGATTATTGTCCTCTTCTTTACCCCATGGGCGGCTCTTGCTTCTAAGACTCTATACAGTTAATACTATTATCTTTCTCTTAATATCAGTGTTATCTCTCTCTCTCTTCTTTTGATATTATAATGATAGTGGTGATGTTGATGTTGATGTATATATTTCGAATTATAAGCAGTATCTCTATTACTAGCCTAAATCTCAGACATATCATCTTCTTTTTTTAAATTTTGTTAATTTATTTCGTTTGTGTGTTTTTACAGATGATTTAAATGGAAGAAAACTCCTACCGTTAGTTCAGCCGGTTAAAAGCGATCCTCATCATCCTGGTTCATCAAGGAGCCATCCTTAATTACATCGTAGGCACAATGTCAATATTAATTAATGGCATTATGATTTAAACTTGCAAATTACAATTTTATTGTAAGGTTTGTCATTTGTTATTAAGAGTAAGGTTTAGTTAAAAGTACAGAAAAGAAGGATCATTGTCATTGTATTAATTTAGGTACTGTAATACATTATCAATAATAATTGATATTTTAAGTATTATAACACATCATCAGTAATAAGTTATATATATATATATATATATATTTATTTATTTTACAACTCATGTTTAGTTAAAATATTGTTCTTGTCATGTCCCCTCCCGGGTTATCTCTGCCCCATTGGATCCAGGCACTCCTAGGGCTCGGGATCCCGAAATAGGGGTGATAAATTTTGAAAGCAAAACTGAAAACTGAAATTTCAATAAATCCAATTACAAAAACTATGTCAGAGTGTTCTAGAGTTTTACAAATCATGCAGATAAGCATGTGTTAGTGGGCCAACCCAGAGTGTAGTGTAAGCTTCGCAAGAACCTTGCACTCAATCCTGGGGGGAGAAAACATACTCACCGTAGAATATGAGATATTTTGGAGACAATTCGTGAGCTATGATACCTTTCCAAAAGCCTCATTGAGAAATAGGTAGTTCACAATATTACCTTAAAATGGGAGAAAATAACATTTTATACAGGATTAAAAAGTTATAACAGTTGGTCAAGAGAACATCAACAAATAATGGAGCTCTAGAAATGACATTTTTGTGTTTCATCAATTGTCAAGAATATGTACCAAAATTAACAAAAAGAAATACAAAAATGAAATTGAAAATTTTAGTTTCGTAAACAATAAATTCAATTCAAGCCACCAATGTCGATAAAAATTTCATCAATAGAAGTTCATTTATGGAACATAATTTCACAAAATCCATGCTCTACTTATCTTTATCCATATTCACCACTGCACCTCGGACTCGTGTAGATTCTTACTAAGCCAAACAGTTATACTCAAGAGTCTGATTATATATTTCGTACAGTCTGATCATACTTAAGAGAATAAAGGATTATGGAATGATTTATTCAAAAAGAAGAAAACTATTTTTTTTTTTAATTTCCTACCTCACAGTTCGATAGCCAACTTGGTGGAGACTCCAAGTAGACAACCATTTCTCGGTGGAGAATCGATTCGACAGTTAACTCAGATGATAATCGACGATTACCACTGAAATCACAACTCCATCGCTTCCGACGCCCACATAGAAGACAATCAGCCGGGAAATCGTTTGAGTTCATTTGATTTGCATGAAGGGTTCTATGAAACATTTAATATATTACTTAATAGTTAGTTAGTTCAGACTTTAGAGTCTCTTAATTTAATTGTTTTGTCACTCACCATATTTGAGCCTAGCTGCTGATTGCCATCATTTCCCCATACAACAGCGCGTTGACGTGAGACAATTAACTTTGGAAGAGAAAATATTTAAAGTCAGAAAATTAAATTAAATGGCCGTTATTTTAAGTAAGAAAATTATCATGGCTTGGTTTGTTTCAGTTTTAAGAATACTACTTTTAATATTTCTAAAAAAAGTTAAACAATAAAATACCAAAAAACTCCGATTTTTGAGAATACTACATTCAATATTATTCAATTTTTTTAAACCCTCTAAATTTATTAATTTAATTAAATACCCTTAAATATTTTTTAAAAAATTACAAAAACACCCCAACAATCCACATTTACCAAATTCCGGCCACCACCGTCGGAAAATGGCCGGAATCTGGTAGGATGGCGCACTATCGGCTGAATCTGGCCGGTAGTGCGCCGATCTATCCTTTTCCGGCTAGATCCACGGTGGATCTGACCGGAAAAGACCAGATCTAAGGCCAAAGATCTGGCCGTTGACGGCCAGATCTTTGGCCATAACAGTCGGTAATGATGGCCAACAAACGGTCGTCATTGACCTTCAACAACGACCGTTTGTTGGCCGTCGTTGATCAGCAAATACGGTCAGATCTGGCCGTTGACGAGCAAATAGGTCAGATCTGGCCATTGACGAGTAAATACGGTCAGATCTGGCCGGCAAAGGCCATATCGACACACGACCGGCAAGATCCAGCCAGTCATGCGTCGATACGGTGACTCTGGCCACCCTCCGGTTGTGGTGGCCGGCTGTCCGTATTTAAGGGTGGGTTGGGGGTGTTTTTGTTAACTTTTAATGTTTTATTATAGGGGTGTTTTTGTAAATAAATAAACATAGGGGGTATTTTAAATTTATAAATCCTACATCGTAATACCTGCCCAATTCAATTTTTTTTTAACTTTTTTCAAAAAACTTTTTCCAAAAACCCAAAATTTTGAACCAAACGGATCACATATTTCTTCAGTTAACAACTCAAAGGCTTCGTTTGGTTCAAAATTTGGGGGTTTTGGGAAAAGTTTTTTGAAAAAAGTTGAATTGGGCGGGTATTACGATGTAGGATTTATAAATTAATAAAATGTCCCTTATGTTTGTTTTTTTACAAAATACCCCCTATAATAAAACATTAAAAGTTAACAAAAACACTCTCAATCTACCCTCAAATACCCCCAGCTGGCCACCGCCACCGGGGGTGGCCGAAGTCGCCTTATCGGCGTATGACCGGCTGGATCTTGTCGGTCATGCGCCGATATGGCATTTTCCGGCCAGATCCACTGTGGATCTGGCCGACAAAGGCCAGATCTACGGCCAAATCTGGCCGTGTTTGCTCTCAACGACGGCCAACAAACGGTCGTCGTTGATGGTCAATGACTCAGCCGGTAGTGCGCCATCCTACCAGATTCCGGCCATTTTCCGGCGGTGGTGACCGGAATCTGGTAAATGTGGATTGTTGGGGTGTTTTTGTAATTTTTGAAAAAATGTTTAGGGGTATTTAATTAAATTAATAAATTTAGAGGGTTTAAAAAAAATTGAATAATATTAAAAGTAGTATTCCAAAAAATGAGAGTTTTTTGGTATTTTACTGTTTAACTTTTTTGGAAATACTAAAAGTAGTATTCCTAATTTTGAACCAAACGAAGCCAAAATATTTGGTAAAACACATTTCAAAAAATAAGTATTAAATTAGATTATAAAATAACCTATCTTATGAAAGGGTTTCAAAAGTATATTTATATGACTTTCAGAATTCACAAACTACTTTTGGAAGTTTCAATTCCAAAATCATCTTAAGAGCAGACCTAAATTTTAAACCTTTTTTAATAAATAAATTAATAAGATAATAAAAAATATAAAAATTATAGATATATGTAGAAGAGGGGATCTAAAATCTTTAGGCAAAATCAATGAGTTGTTATAAACGTGAAATCCTTTTTCTAACTTTATGAATCACTCTATACACTATAGACACCGCACTTTGCTATCTGAACACACATTATATGTCTATGATTTTGGTGGTCAAAGACTCCGCGTGCCTCTCCATCTAAGTTTAAATAGCTAAAGCCAATTCACTTTACAAGAACCCGTCACTCAATTTCCTTTGAATTAGGTATAACTTGAGAAGTGATGGGGAGTCTTTGACAATTCACTCTACAACAACCATTTTAGTTTCAGAAATATTTCCTGTATTTAGCTAACAAGGAAAAATCTTGTGTGAAATTTCATTAACGCCCTTTAAAGGTAAAACTCATTTTATGCTTGTAATTATTTAAATATTATCAAGATAAAGGAGGTCGGGTTTTATGATATTTCTTGAAACCTTAGAATACATTTATTTTCCTCAAAGCTCATGTGATGGGAGGGAAGGATGTATTTTACCTGTTTTTGAAAGAATAATACAAGATGTACAAACGTTTTCATACATGTGTCTCAAAATAAATGAATAAAGGCATGAAAAACGTCAATTTAGTAAATGCTCAATAACAATAGAGACATACGTATCAATGAAATAATGGTACAACTTTAGTTTGTATATATTAGTTTGTACATGTAGGATCACTCAAATATCACTTGTATAGGCCAAAAATTGTGTTGGGCCTAACGAGGCCAAAAATCATGTAGACAAGATAAACAGGTTACGACCCAAGGCCTCAGCCCAATTCTGGTTGGGCTTACGCTTAAATCCACCTTGTTAACTGTCCACTCTATGAGTTTGGTCATCCTACAAATTAAGCTAAATTGGGACTAGCCCATTAGCCCACATTAGTCCATAAATAGGAATCAGAATCCTACTTTGTTTCCTCTTCTGTCGAGATCCCGAATCTCACTCAAAACGGTAAGCCTAATAAGATAAAAACAAGAGATCATATTTCTTTCCAGATTGTCCTACTAGGATTTCAACCCCTTGGGTTCACTATATAAGCACAGACAAATCACCAAAAACACTTAGCTTTCAAAGTTCTTGCTCCCCAAAACCATCCCATTATTCACGTAATCCTTCTCGTCTTCAGCCCTCACTAAATGCCCTCGGCCTTGTTGGCTTGAGCTTCAAAGTGTCTATGGCAGACACCACATCGGTGTTTATCTGGCCTTCACATTCTTTTTTCTTCCCTGTACAGGTCCATCAAGTTATTAGTGGCTCTGCTCTCACGGGATTCGTCCTTTTCGAATTGACAGTAGATTTTACTATCTATAGTTTGGCGCCCACCGTGGGGTTCTGACAACTATTTGACTTAAACAATCTACTATTTCTGCTCTTTTCTCCAGATTCAACCATCATGAATGGAACACTGAAACCCCTACTCTTGATGTTACAGCTCAGATTGCGGCCCTCACCACTAGTGCAAGAAAGCAATGACAAGTAATAGGCCTTGGAAGCTCAAAACGCTGCCATCCACGTAAAGAATCAAACCTTCCAAGACAAGGTAAGCCAATTCTATTCGGTAGATTGGAATTTGGTCAGTAGCATGCCTCCTCTTCTCAGCTCCCTGTTCACCAAAGGCAATTATTCTCCACCCTAGATCATGATACCCTGACAAATCAAACCCACCTCCACTCAACTCCAACCGAGTCGAGCCAAACCGACCCGACCCGACCCGACCTGAGTGGATGACACCCCAACCCAACAACTGAACACTCCCTTCACCCTACCGCAAGCACATCCCACGCACTCAGTTGTAAAAGCCACCCACCAAACATTCTTGCTCGGCTCGGCCATAAATATCAACCCCAATGTATTCCCCCACTTCCTAAACAAAGTATACACTCCCGTGGCAACACCCCTTGAGAAATCCTCGGCC